AATTTTCAAAAGAAGCCAACGTCCAGATTTTTATGAGACATATTGTGATTTTTAAAAACATGATGAACTAGCAAAAACGCATCTGAGGATTCGTTTTTGACTCTTCTCTATGGCACAAAGGACCTAAGCCATCCTAATACCCTTTTACGTTTGTTCCATCTCTGCTATACCCACCCCTCACCCCTTACACTTAATTCACTGAGGGCAGGGAACTAGAGAATTCATTTTGGATACTTTCTACAGCTCTCTGCATGTAACAACAGGCTAACAGTAAATACCGTTGAATGAAACATGAGGTTGCTGACCTATATCTCATTAGGGAGCATTCCCCCCAATCCTAGGGAACTGGTTAAAAGTTGGCACTGGTGTTTGAGTAGGTTGGAATCCTGGCTCTATCATTTGCTGGCTGTGTGACCTTTAGCAAGTTACTAATTTTTCAGAGCCTCATCTATAAAGTGAGAATAATCATACCTGCCTCAGTTGTTATAGGGAGGGATTAACTGAAATAAATACACTTATTAGCACAGCGTAGCAACTCAATAGCTGTTCTTACATCATCCCTTCTTTCTTCACTGGCTCCCTGGCATGGCTCCTTTAATCTATTAAACCATCATTTACCACTATCCACTTGGCTGGCAGCTAGAGGGAGCCTTAAAATAACAGCTGTCATTCACACTGCCAGGGTTTACATCCCTCAACAGCTTGCTGATCCCCTTAGTAGAGAAAATCCTAACTCTTTAGCAGCTCACCAGGATCTTTTGGAGCTGTGCCTGGCCAGCCCTGAAGTCTCATCTCTCACCGCTATCTCCCTCCACACTCAGCGCTCCAGGCACACCCAAGCTTTCCCAAAAGCTCCATACTTCCTGCCACTTCACAGAAAGTGCTATTCTCTCCAGCTGGAACTTCTTCCACTCCTACCGCCCCTCCTAGATGTTCCACCTATGTGCTCAGAAAATTCTTGATGTTCCTTGCTAAACCCGAGGACAGGTACAATATCATTTTTCCTCACCACGCCCCTCTTCCTAGCACAAAGCCCGCATAGAACAGGCAAACATAGTTGCAGAATTGGCCACAGCAGTGCTGATTCCGTGAGCAGACAGCGCCACCTGTTGACCCAAACTTGCACTTCAGTACTTAGAAAGGAGCGTTTGCGCTGTCCACCAAAGTAGATGGACAATGGTTTTGAAGCTTTCTAGAGGTCTGTCCACTGTCTCCTGACACCAAAGTAGCAATTAAACCAAAAAAAGAGAGAGCTAACATTATTACTTAATGTGAGAGAGCTAGCATTCGCTCGAATGCTTTAGTTTATTAACACATTTAGTTTCACACTCAATGAGGTAGATAACCTTTATTGCCATTTTGCAGATAGGGTGACTCACCCAACATTACACTGCTAGAAAACTTCACCTCGAGCGGTCTGGCTTGAACCTGCACCTTTAAGACTGAAACTCACTGCCTCTATTGTTTCCTTCACTCCACACCGACCTGGTGAAGTTACATCCCAGACACTTCCCTCTACTGTGAAGGCCCACTGCGGAGGCGCTGCTATCAGTGGCATTGCTGTCAACCCAAATCCCATGTGGAGTGAGCGACCCACACATCCTGAAGGCTGCACAACTCCCCAAGGGCACTCCTCAGGGCAGGAATTCGGCGTGATGGTGAGACAGCAAACGCAGCAGTCAGCCCCGGCCTCCATGTTACTACTCGACCCGTGTGACTTCCGGCAAGAATCACTCCTCTGAGCCTCCAGTCCCTAATAGGACCCTTGGCCCAGCTGGCTGGACCAGAATGGATGGATATTCATATGAAGAGCGAGGAGCACAGTCCGATTCAGGTGAGAGGCAGTGATCACTCAATACCCTACCTGGATCACTCACATCATGAATGAGGTTGAGTCCCTTCACGTGTTCGTTATCACCATTTAGAACCAAGAGGTTGGCTGCTTCCTTCTTAAATCCCATCTGCTTTTCACTCGCTCCTCTAAATATTCCTTTATGTCATTTGTGAAAATGCCTGCCTCCACTTAATTTTGTTATTTAAATATATACTTATGTATATCATTAATTACTTATTTTGTTAATTTATAATTAATTTTTATTAATCATTAACATGTAAATTCAATATATTTTATAAATTATAAATTATTTTATTTTATAAGTTTTTTATGTATTTTAAGTATATAATATATATTAGCTGTATATAATATATATTAGCCATGTATATTTAAATATATACTATGTTTAAATGTAATATGTATATTTAAATATACTTGAATACTTCCTATACTCTAGTCATTATTCTAAATACTTTACACATATCAACTCATTTAATCTTCACAACAGTGCTATGATTATCCCCACTTTACAATGAGGAAGCTAAAGTACAGTGAAATGACACATTCAGTGTCATACATCAAGTGGCTGACCTAGAGTGAAAACCAAAGTCATGTACCAGTCTATACTTTAAATGCTACATCAGACTCCCTCTGCTGGTGGAGGCTGTGTCTGCTGCCTTTACTCCCAGGTGCCAGGCACACTGCTTCTCACATAGGTGTTGACAAACTTGTTTTAATATATATATACACACACACATGCACATGTACGCAGTCACATTCCAGTGTGACAAATACCCCTTCTTCAACCAGGAGATAGCACTACCATAGTCTGGGCTCCTGGAGACTCCAGAGAGAGCCTAGGCCTGGCAGTCTCACAGATGACACCCAATGGGAGCAAGTGGGAAGGGGCCGGGTGCACCTGCCTGGGGCTTCACACGGGCCCAGAACTCTGCTGCACCCTCTTCATCAGCTCTTCATCCTGCATAGACAACTCTGTCAACTTTTTGCCCATCCGCTCATGGATGTCCAGGTACTTGGAAACACACCGATCCAGGCACACAGACTCGCCCTTGGACAGTTCTGCTTCCTTGTAGTGGGGAGGCACACACTTCCGGTGGCAGGCACTGGTCATTCTGGGGGAAAGGAAGGGCAAGCAAGGTTAGGTCAGCAGCATCCCGAGGCACACCAGGAACTCTCAACCATCCCTGCCCTGCTATACTGACTCACCTCCTAGGAGGGCAGCGTGAATCCTCAGTTTGCACCTCAACCATCTTGGAAGGTCCTTGAGGAGCCTTGCCTAAACCCACGTCTAACACTAACTAAACAGGAACCATTAGCTGAGTACTGGCTATGTTCTAGGCATCACGTTAAGTGCTTGACATGAATCTGTTATGCAATTCTTATAATCCTACGACGTAGGCATGGTCATTATCTCCATTTGACAGATAAGGAAATTAAGGCACAGAGAGTTTCAGGACCACATAGGCACAGGCCTCAGCCTCCCCTAGATTGAGGAAAGCATTTTTCAGAAGTCCACCTCTATTCTCGGAATAGAAAGGATGACCTAGGATCATGCTTCTAAGGCAAGGTCGCGCAGAGTCGGCTCTTACCTATTGTACATATCAGCCATCATCTCTACCTCCAACTCCGCTGCCAGCTGCTGGGCCCTGAGCGGATCCATCTCAGCTCCGCACGGTGGATATCTCCTTCTGGCCTCCTGGTCCTTGGAGCGGACATCACATCACCGTCAGCGCCCACCCCTCCTGTTCACTTTCCCAACCCAGGGGCTAGCGGATGAGGAGACAGCAAAGGGCATCAGCCTGGCAGGGGCCACTAACCTCACTGAATTCAACCACCCCATTTCACAGATGTGGAAACTGAGGCCCCAAAGGAGAACACTGCCTAGCCCCAGGTCACACAGCATGTCGACAGCGGGGCTGGAAATTTAGCCCTGGGACCCCGATGCCCATTGCCTCTAGATCACTTCTATCCAGGAGAAAATCGAAAGACGGGTACGAAAACACGCTAAACCTTGGGCCTGAACCTCCGAGGCCCTGAGAGTTCGATCATACGCGTAATTAATGCGCCCGGGCCCCGGACCTGGGGCTGCACCTCAGAAATGACGGCGCCATCGTCAGGGTCACCTTGATGTTAGAGGTCACTCACCACGGCCCGAAGCCGGTCACAATGCCCCCGGTGTCCCCAACTTCAGGCAAACGCTAGAAACTTACGCAGGACCCAGGTAGGGCAAAGCGGAAGCACGTGGGGTCACTTCCGGGAGGGAAGTCCCGCCTCCTCTCTGATACAGACTCGCTTCCGGAACGAAGTACCAACGAGGCGGCGCTGGGAAATCGGCTACCATAGAGAAGGAGCTGCGGGCCCTAGCTGAAGGTGGAGGCGACTTGCAAATGCTAGAGAGGACACCCAAATATCATAGAGGTTTGGGTGGAGTACAGATCGCCTGCAGCCTGGTTGTCAAATCTCTGGGGCTGTCCCCAAGAGGATTGAGTGTATTGGTTCTGTAGAAGGGGCAGGGCGTCAGAGCTCAAAGAACCTGGTCCCCACCCCCGGAGAGGTACGCCAGGTTACAAATCAGGCGTGGAGCAAGAAGAAGGCCCCCAAACAGTAGGTCCCCAAACAGTAGTTCTCCGTGTGTGGTGCTCGTTAAGGTCACCTGAGACGCTTTTAAAAATCCCGATGCCCAGTCCCTCACCTCATAACGTATCAATCTCTGGGAGTAAGACTCAGGCATCAGTAAGTTTTTATTTTTATTTTTATTTTTTTTAATGCATACAGCACCTGGTCCTCCTAGGTGGTCTCCCATCCAAGTACTAACCAGGCCCAACTGGAGATCAGACGGGATCAAGCGTGTTCAGGGTAGCTTGGCCATAGACATCAGTAAATTTTTTAACTCCCCAGATGAATTAGATGTACATTAATGTGCATTAGATGACATTTAGAAATTTAAGAGTGAAAATGACACTGGAAAAAAGACTTAGAGATAAAAACAGATGAAGATAATATGGCTAAATGTTAATTGTTAAATCCTGGTGATGGGTATATAGAAGTTCAAAATACTGTGCTTGCCACTTTGCCGTGCGTTTTAAATTTGGCCTAATAAAAGTCTAAAAATTAAAAAACGTAAGAACAATGATTTCTTTTTATTGAGCATCTCCCATGGACTAAGGGGCTTTAATGACGTGCTTTTTTTGGTAATGATCTTTAAAACTTTTTTTTGAAATAATTATAGGTTTACAGAAAGTTTCATAAATAGTACATAATTTCCTTTTTGCAACCAAGTTTGGGAACCAGTGCTCCAAGAAACTTTGTGTGACTACAGCTGCCTGCATGCAGGTCACTGCACTTTCTCTGGGGTTGCAAAGAGGCACGGTTCCTGCTTGTAGAAAGAGGAGACATGTACACTTATGCTTTATTCAACTTCTGTTAGACATGCTGCCCTTTGAAGAAGGTGGGCTGGACACTTTATACGGTCGGTCACATATGCTTTCCTAATTGTCCAAGAAAGATGTTCAACACTGGGCCTCATTACTGCTCTAAGGACTCATCTTTGTTAATCCCTGTTTCCTGATACTTTAAAATTGAGGTATAAATAATATTCATACAGTAAATTGTAAAATACATGAATCTTACATTTAATTTTAAAATACATATTCATTCCTATAAGCACCATTCAGATCAAGATACAAAGTACTTCCAGAATATAACCCTGAAAAGTTATTTCATGTTCCTTCCCATTCAATACCCCCTCTCTTACAATTAACCACTATTTTGACTTCTATCGCCACCAGTTTTGCCTTCATGAAGTTCTTGTAAATGGAATTATATATTATTTTCTGTTTTGTGCCTGGCTTCTTTAGCTCAGTGTAATGTCTGTAAGATTTTATGTATATTGTTTTGTATTTTTCTTTTTTATTGCTGTTTAGCATTTAATTTATTCTTTTTTATCGCTGTTTAGCATTTATTTGTATATTCGTTCTCCTATTGACGGAGAATTTATTCTTTTTTATTGCTGTTTAGCATTTATTCTTTTTTATTCTTTTTTATTTATTCTTTTTTATTGCTGTTTAGCATTTAATTGTATATTCATTCTCCTATTGACGGACTTTGGGGTTGTTTCCAGTTTGAGGGTATTATTAATAATGCTGCTATGAATACTATTGTCCATATGTTTTAGCGGACATATGTTGCCCTGGTTTTGGCTTTTGAAAATATAGTCAACATATTGTAGAATATGAAGAAATTTTATGAAAAAAAAAAAGACATGGGTTCTTACAAAAAGAATCTGTTTCCTAGATGGGGTTTTTGTTAAGTGAAATGAAAAGTTGAATACCGTATAATGTCATTTAAATAACATTCTCCAAATGACAAAATTGTAGAGATGGAGAAGAGATTAATGGTTGCCCGGGGTTAGAGCTGATGGGGGAAAGGAAGGAGGTGTGTCTACAAAGGCATCGCACAAAGGAGATCTTTATGGTGATACAATGGTTCTCTATTCAGGTGGTTACCTGAATCTACACATGTGATAAGATGTCATAGAACTATGCACACCATTGTGCCAATGTCAGTTGTACCAATTGTGTCAAATTGTGCCAATTTCCTTCATTGCTTATAGTTATGTAAAATTTACCTTTAGTAGAGCTAGGTGAAGGGTGCACAAGGACCTCTTTGTACTATTTATGCAATTCCTGAAAGCCTATAATTATTTCAAAATGAAAAGTTTTAAAAATCATTGCAAAAAAAGATAACAAACAAAAAAAGGTAATGTAATTAAAGCACCTAGTTCATGGTAGATGTTCAATAAAAAGAAATCATTGTTCTTATTTTTTTTTAAGTTTTAGACTTTTATTAGGGCAAATTTAAAATGTACAGAAAAGTGGAGAGCACAGTGTATTGAACTTCTATATACCCATCACCAGATTTTAACAATTGTTAACATTTAGCCATATTTTTTTCATCTATTTTTATCTCTATCAGATCAAATCTTTTTTCCACAATGCTATTTCCACACTCTCAAAATTTTAGTAATTTCTTAATGTCATCTAATGCACATACTCAATTCCCCCCAATTTCTCAAAATGTTATTTATTTTTTTTAGGCGAGGCAACCCTTGGTTGACCTCACAGATTGCAAGGACCTTGTCAACTTACAATCCCTTTTATTATTATTATTTATTCTTTTTATGCCTACAGCACCTGGTCTTCCTAGGTGGTCTCCCATCCAAGTACTAACCAGGCCCGACCCTGCTTAGCTTCCGACCCTGCTTAGCTTTCAAAATCAGACGAGATCGGGCTCGTTCAGGGTGGCATGGCCGTAGACTCAAAAATGTTTTTTTTTTAAATTGTGGCACGAACACTTAACATAAGATCTACCCTCTTAACATTTTTAAGTGCACAATATACCATTGGTAATTAGGCATAATGTTGTGCAGCAGCTCTCTAAAATTATTCATCCTAAATAACTGAAACTTTAGACCCTTCGAACAGCAGCTCCTCATTTCCCCCTCCCCCCGGTACTTGGGAAATCATCGTTCTTACTGATGATGACATTATTATCATTATTGTCTATGAGACTGCGTCTTTTCCTTCCTGTATTTATATCATTGGGGATTTGAAGACCCATAAGTGGAATCTCCAGTTGTTCCTGTTAAGATTCTTCTTGTAAAAGACAGTTTACATAGCTCCCGCCTTCCAAGGTCTCTGGAGTCCAGATACGTCATCCGAAACGCTGACCTCTGTCAGCCCTATGCTGAAGCTCTGGCCTCTCACTCTATCCTGCCATCTGTCCCTTCCCAGCCTCCCAGCCTCCCCAAGGGGAGTTGTGTATTTGTGACTCCCCACGGTCAGTCCTCTTGGATGGGACCTCATCTCTGAGGAAGGGACACGGGGTTGTCGCCCAGGATCTATCTCCCCATGTGGGCCCTGACCACTCATGAGAGGTGTGGACTCCCCTGAGATGAGCAGGAGATGAGAGAATAAGAACGTCAAGGGCTTTAACGGAATGGTGGTTCTGTGACCTGGAAGAGAAAGCCGGCACAGTCTCAGTCACTGTTATCCACCATCGCTGTTCCTCACCACGTCTCACCTCCGCTGCTGACTGTCAGGTCCAAGCCACCATCATCTCGCACTTGAGTTATTGTCATAGTTTCCTCACTGGTTTTGCCCACTTCATTCATTCTCCCCCTTCAGGCGATCCTCAGAACAGCAGCCACAGCGATCTTGTTAAGAACTAAAGTGAGCTCATGTCACTTGGCAACCTAAAACACTCCAAGGGCTTCCAATCACAGAGCAAAAGCCGAAGTCCTTACAAAGGCCTCTAAGGCCCCACATGACTCGGCCCCCCACTGCCTTTTATCTCTCACTATCCTCCAGCTCCATCGCTCTGCCCCAGCCATGCTGGCCTCCCTTCTATCCATCAGACACACCAAGCACTCCCACTTTTCCACTTGCTGTTCCCTGGGCCTGGAAGGCTTTCTCCCCAGGTAACTGCATGCCTCACTCTCTCACTTCCTTCAGGTCTTCACTCCAGTATCACCTTCTCAAGGATGCCTTCCTTGGCCCCTCTAAGTATATCACCCGCGGCCCCCAGATAAAACATTTCCTCATCTTCTTCTCTGCTTCATTTTTCCCTCTCGAACTTATCACCATCTAACATGACATATTCTGTTTATCGATTTGCTTACTCTCTATCTCCCCCATACAAAATGTAAGCTCTAAGATCTGGCGTTCACTGCTGTATTCCCAGCACGTCCTAGGTGTTCAAAAATCATTTGATCAATGAATACGTGAATTGTCTAAGAGAAGTTTTAATGAGTGATACAACGGTTTTATTTTTTGCTGTTTGCAGTGCCTAATGGCAGTAGGGCAAGAAGAGAAATAAGGTTTAATTTTTAAAAAGGACAGCAGACCAGAGAGATACATGGAAAAGCTCACCGATCTTGAGCAGATAAATTCTAGATGGGCGAAAAAGACATCTTCATACTAGAGCCAGCCAGCAACCATCAATATTGGACTATTCAACCACTGGTACCCAACCTTCGCTTTCAAATCATCCCCAAACACAGATCCCCAAGTTCTAATTCCATATTTCTGTTAACTAATTCATTTATTCAATATATATTTATCAAGCAACTCAAATGAACCAGTTAATTTGCTAGTTCCCGGGCCTATAGCCATGAGCAGAGTAGATAAAGACCCTGCTTCATGGAGCTTCGAGTCTAGTGAGAGAGTTAGATAATAAGGAAATGAATAAGGTAATTTTGGATTCAAATAAATATTGTGAAGAAAATACAACAGGTTGAAACGATGATGAGGAACCAAAGGCCATGAAGCCCTCTCTAAGGAAATGAAATCTGACCTCAGAGCTGGAGGATGAGGAGGAGCCAGTCTTGCAAAGACCAGAATCAAAAAGGTTACAGTCCTGAGTGTGGAAAGAAATCCATTTATCTGAGGAACCGGAAGGAGGCCGGTGCGGTTGGAGTTTGGGGACATGGGGGAGGGGCCTGGGGGAGTCACAGGCTCCCCAAGTGGTGGGGGGTGTCCCCTGCACACATTCTGCAACAGTGGTGCCTTTCTTAGACCACGGGACACGTAGAGAAGGTGAAGATTTGTTTGTTTGTTTTTTCTGAGCAAAATCTCCATTTAGTACAAAAATTTGTACAGAGCCTACTGCTGTACCAGTCACTTCACTCAAAATAGAACTCGGCTTAGGATTTTCTAGACTAAACCTAGCGATCCATCTTCTCCTCATTACCCCGCCCCCCCACCATGCCTCTCTGTCCCGTGGAAGCGGAGAGACAATCCTCCCTGGGTCCAGTCTGCAGCTGTCCCATGCGCCTCCCCCCTTAGCCCACCCTTCAGCAGCCGCTTTTGTCTGAGGAAGAGTAAAAGGGGCTATTTAAAGAAACAAGGGGACTGGGGAGCAAAGGAGGCCTCGCCTGCGCTCTGGATGAACAGGGGAGGCCAGAGGGCTGGTGACCATCCAGATGGGCCCGCAGATGGTTTTTCAGGTCTCCAGGGCCAGGCAAGTACATTGGGAAGAAAGATGACCACAGGATGCATGCTGCTGGGGTCAGCGTGAGAGGGACGGCCGTGCTATGATTGAAAGGTACCACCTGTCAGGTCTCCGTGGGAAACCCGAGCCTCCCAGGCCAAGGAGAGTGTTGTACCAACAGGGTGTAAACAATGCTCTTCTGAGGCCCAAGGCTCCTGAAGTGGGGGGTGGGGTGGAGTGGAAGGAGGGAGGAAGGTAGAGGGGGGACAGGGACGGAGGAGCTGGGGGCTAGAGGCCTCTGGGGCTTAAAGGCAGCCCAGAAGTGAGGCCGCTCAGCTAGAAGAAGGAGACAGCTCCCAAGTCCGAAGGCAGAGGCCGCACAGGTAGGAGAAGCCCTGGGCCCCTTTCTAAGCCCCTCCCCCGCCTACTCCATCTGCCAACTCCTCTCCCACCTTCCAAGGGTGGGAGCCTTCAAGCTGGGGGGACCCACAGTTGGAGAAATCCAGACTTTTTTCTAATTCTCTCCACTACTATGTCAACTGTCTTTAGAGGCCAGACTCAGGGACCCAGCCTTGGAGTGCTGAGCAGCTTGAGATCACCTACAGAGCAATCAGCTGGTGGCCACCTTGCAGAGGACTTGACAGGGACCTGACAGGGTAGAGCGTCTCACCAGTCCAGCTGGGTAGGAAGACAGACTCCCCAAGCAGTTAAGAGTGGCCTCTCCCAGGGAGGGTCCTTGGCTGGGGCAAAAGACAGTAGAAACCTCAGGACCACCTGAAGACAGATGGGGTGACAGTGGATCTGGAGGTGTCAGCAGAACCATCAAATGTCATCTATACTAATTGGGGCTTGGAACTCGGGCTCCTGGGTTCCTTTCCTTTGGGTCTGCTGCCAAGAGCCGGGAGAGAGGGAGAGAGGAGCTGTCTGCAGTGCTGCCTCAGACAAGAAACAGGGACGGGACGAGGGCTTCCTGGGGAAGGAAGGAGGAAGGAAAGTGGAGAAGAACGAAGGAAGGAGAGGGCCTACTGTGCCCTTAGAAGAGAGAGAGCTGAATTCCTGAGACATGACTGTCTGTCCTCCCCAACCAGGGGTCCCCTCGCTCTGGGCAGAAGCCTTTTAATGGACACTGGCTGAGGACCTGGTTGGAGTAGCATCTTTGGCACAGGCTCTAGACTGGTCGTCAGGGGTTCTAGGAATGATCTGGCCATGTAATTGTCCTATGACTTTAGTCAAGGGACTTTAACTCTCCCAGCTCCAAATTCCTAATCTGTACACCTATTCTCTAGGATTGGGGGCGCCGGGGGCGGTGGGGGGCGGGAGGAGGTGAGCGAGGTGAAGCGGGCACTGCAGTGAGAGCTGTAAACTGCTCTAGAGTTGTGAATGCTGGGGGTGGGGGTGTTATCCTGGTTGCTGAGCGTTCTGAGTTTCTTCACTCCTTGTCTATTTATGACAAGCCTGGAGGGTGGAAAGCTGAGGTGATGAACAAGCAAGATGGCCAAGGAGTGTGCGTGCGCGCGCGTGTGAGTGTGAGTGTGTGTGTGCGCGCGCACCTGCCCTTCCCCTCCAACACGCTAAGCGTGTAGCATGTAGATGAAAGAAAAGATGGTTGCAGCACTCTGCTATGTGTTAGCCAATCGCGACCGCATTCTGAGGTATAGAAAGGGCTTGTTATCGACTTCCTGGCGTTTGGTTCTCTTTGCCTTGTCTTACTAACTAAACGCCCTCACGGCTGGGTCAGGGCCTTAACCTGGCACAAGGCAGGGCAGAGGCCAACCCACGCCGTATGAGCCGATGTGCACTGAGAGCTCCCTCCAGGCCAGGTACGCCTCAAAGTGCTTCCTGTTCGCTGGCTTTCGAACCTCCCACCACCCCGCTGCAGTGAGACCTATTTTTACCTCCAGAAATCAAGACACCGGGAAGGCAGGTAGCTTGCTCAAGGTCACACAGTTAGTCAACTCTGGGAGCTGGGATCCCATCGTAGGAAGCCTCCCACTGCTCCACACCGTCTTCCAAACAAGAGTGCAGGGCAGGAAGGGGTTGTGTGGGTCATTCAGGTCAAAAAAAGGAAAGAAAGCAAAAAATAATGATAGTAATAATTCATGGTCAAACAGGTGTGGAGGAAAGTGTGTTAAATAAGGCTAAGCAAAGTTAAGATTTCTCTACTACGGGGTATCTATTTAAGTGCTAACGAAGAATATTTCTAAAAGAGTAAAGAGTATGTTCTTTCTGGAACAATCTTAGCCAGAGAATAAATCCCCTCCCCCGAGCCCCTGTTAATGTCTTAGGAGACCCTAGTTTTCTACAGAACACAGTTTGGAAAACCTGATCAAGGCCAATCCTGTCATTGCCAGTGGAAACTGAAGCCCAGAGAGGCAAAAGGACTTCCTCAGGTCTTAGTGTGAGTGACTGGGAGACAGCGGTCAAGGCCAGCTTCGTGGCCTCCTGGGTCCCTGCTGATGTGCATTCCAAGTCCTGGCTCATTTGCTGCCCTCTAGCTCTAATGCGTG